AATTCTTGTTTTGTCATCAATTGTGTCATTCATAACATGCATAACATCTGCGCCGACCTCTCAGTGCCATCCGTTGCGTATCGACGCCATCACTAGTCTAATGAATGGCACCGTTTTTATCGCTTCCGACCAATACTATTGGTTTGTGAATAACATGACAATGAATGAGACGACTAAAGGCCTGATTCGGGATCTCATTCCCGGTATGTCTTCGTTGAAACTGGCCGTCAGTATAAGGACTTCCATATCCAGCAAAACCACTGAAATACTTCTCTTCCATACTGTCAGACAAAACACACTTTTATTTGGTTTTGATTTTATAATTGAATTATGATTTCTGTTTTGAATACAGTCTGAGAAAAATGTGTTTAAAACAATGGTTTACGAGAATAACAAGTGGAGTGATGGCCGACAATACGTGATTGACTTCATGCAAAACGCCGCCCAAAGAAGTCTCACATCCGATCAATTGAGTCAAACAAACCTCTCTCTCCTCTACTTTAAAGACGAGGAAAATCCTGTCCTTTTGGTGTCTTTAAGTGTGTTTCAAGTGTTGATTTCATGATTACTATCGGTATTAATCTATTGTTACATTCATTTAATGACAGACAATACTCCGGAAGCATATTATGTAAAAATTCCGGGCAATCAATGGTCACGAGTCCCTCAATGGAGACAAGCGTTGGATACGATCGGAAGTAAGCCATCGGTGGACAGTTTGTATGTGAAAAATCCGGACCAATCCACGGCCGCGTATACCGTATTCTCCGGCAATCAATACTATAACTGTCACATCAAAAGTGTCGGACAGACGGCCGAAGATGAGTGCGATTCTCAACGACAAAACATCAATCAATGGATCCCTTGTCTCTCTTCTTCCGAAGTGTCGCAGAGTTTGATCGATACGAGCGGCGGAACGAATCCACGAAAGAAGTTGATTTTGGCCCTATCTTTAGTACTCGTCGCCGCTATTATTGTACTAATTCTTGTCATTTGTATCTATTGTTGCTGTTGTCTGAGAAGAAGGAAAGCACCGCAACGTAAGTCCATTGTGTGTATCAGATAATGATTTAATACTGCATTTAATCGTATGTTTTCAGCGCAAGAAAATCCAGAACCAGTTGCCGGCGAACAACAGATGCCGGCGGAAGGGGTTAAGGATGAGGCCATCAAAGAGGTTGAGCCCCCAAAGGAGAGTATGTCTGCGATTGTCAAACGAATGCAAGATATGCTGACCGGAGGTGAGAAGAAAGAGGAGAAAAAGGACAAACCGGTCACAAATAAACCAAAGAGTCCGCCTTTTAAGCAAAAAGAGGGAAACAATTTGCAGAAAAATGTCAATCGATTTGAAAATGTATTACAAGGAAAGAAAACAAAGACAGATAAAAGTCCGGCTAAAAACCTGCCCAAAACTCCAACCAAAACTCCGACCAAAACTCCGACCAAAACTCCGACCAAAAGTCCGGCTAAAAGTCCGGCCAAAAAGACATCTAAAAATGTAAATAAAAAAATTGAGGCGAAGGCGGAGAAAGTGGAGGAAACGCCAAAACCAACGCCAAAACCAACTGAACCAATGTTTAAAACTGAAGAGTCGGCGGCCGATAGAAAGGCAAAGGCGTTGTTGGAAATGAAGTCGACTAACGTTGAGACAAATGCAACCAAAACTGACGACAAAGCAAAAAGACTGTTGAGTTGGAATCCAGAGACGGCCTAAACATCACTTTTTTTCTAAATATATTCGTTTACAATAATAAAAATGTTTGGAAATATATTTTTAATCTCATAAAAGTCAACATTAAATACTTATTAAATATTTGGAAAATTTGAAGTTTAAGAGAGCACTGTATTGACAACTTATCCACATTTATAATACTTATAAATTGACACATTATCTCATTGTTTTTAACAAAATAAATTTTCCACTCATATTGTGTGTAAATTATAATTTATAATCCACTATATGTCGAATAATGTACAGTAAATGTGTGTTTAATCTCAGGTATTAAAAATTATTTTCACTTTTATTCACAATAAGTGTTGCATTTATCACAATAGAAAGTATTCGTGTTTTAGTACTGTTTTAAATAAAGTACAAATTTTAAACCCATATAAATATTTGTACAACAAATATGTGGAGAAAAGCCAAACGCGGTCTTCAGTTGTTGAAGGAGTTGCAGCTGAAGAATGAGGACCAGTTGACAGACAACGACAACACGAGTTATTACACGAGTCGGCCGAGCACTTCGTCCTCTTATTACTCGGCCAAAGAGGAGGACTCAGTGCTGGGATATTGCAAAACCAATTATAAGTGTTGTAGCGATGGACCCATATATCACATCGACAACCGCAACGATCAGTCAGAGGCACCACTTTCTCCAGTATTTAACGATCCGATTAACGCATACAATAAGTCTATTGATGAGGGAATCCAAGAGACCATCAATGGGTCCGATGAGTACCGCAAGAGTGGCGCCGGAAATGCGGGAATTGTGTTGAATTGTGAGAGTCTTTCGCAAACAGTGAATTGCAAATCAATGTCTACCAGAAAGTCAACAGTAGTTCAACAGAAGGGTAACCACAGGTCGACCAGAATTGACATCAAAATAGTGGTTCAAAACACTGATTTCGATGATTCGGATTCTCAGTGAATATTATTTTTATTTTAATTATACAAATGTATATTTTTTGTTCAATTATATTGTTTTACTACAGTGTAGTGATTATATTTATGACACCAATTTTGTGTTAAATAAAAGTATTGATACAATAAACTATTGATAGTTTATTGAACATTTATAAACTATTCATTTTTAAACTTCAAAATTATAAAAATTAAATCTCCTTTAGATAAACGTCACGAGAAATCTGCATTTAATTAAATTTTGATTTTAATTTAATTCAAACTGAATTTATGTCAGATTTATAACTTTTTGAGACAATTGTTCACAAATTACTGAATCTATTAAAAGATGTTTTTACATATGAAAAGTCTATTAATAATACTCATTATTATCTCAATTTATAATATGATTGTATTATCGGTTGAAATCCGTAAACCAATTGCCGATCGTTTTGGCAAAAAACTAATCGCAAATGAAGGGACTGTTGGAACCAATGAAGTGATCATTCGCTCAAAGGCTAGGATATTAAGACAGATAAACCCAAACTCTCCCAATCCGGGAGGTAATAGTCAAAGCGGTTCCGGTGTCAGCGGTGGTCACACTATGCCTACAACTCCTGTAACGACGCCATTGAGTACCACAACTGGAAGTGTTAGTAACGATACGACAACTTCTATGGCGAGTAATACAATGGGAACGGCAAACCCCGGAGTCGGTGCTGGAAGTGCTGATTATTTAACGGCTGAGACCCAGAGTGTGACCGAAACGACGACAACAAAGTCGACCAGTAGTCCATCGGTTTGGCCCGTATTTGCCATCTCTTTTATATTTGTGTTTTCTATTATCGTTGGTCTCATTTGGTATGAAGTCTTTAACACTTGTTTTGTTAACTAATTATTGTTTTCATAACTTTTTTTCAATCGCCGAAAGGGTTTTAAAAGGTTTTTGTGAAATAAGAGCTAATGAAGAGTTAGAAGAGACTCGAATCGGTGGTAAGACATCAACTGGTAATCAATTGCTAAGTGTTTTAAAAACTACTGTTTTTGTTCACAAAATAGAGGCCAAAAGAAAGGCCAGTAAAAGCCTTATAGCTGTGAAAGAAAAGGGTCCGACCGGTGATCACAAGAAACCGGTGCCGCCGACCAAAGACAAAGAGGTGACCACGAGATCCAATACACAGGCGATTACCACTACAACAGAAGACAAAAGCGGTGCCACAAAGGACTCAACGGCTGCGACAATACATTTAAAATCGCCCAAAAGTCCGGACAAACAATCGGCGACCGATAAGAGTCCTGTTTCCAGTCAGGACACCAGTAGTCCCGCACCGGGAGGTTCAGCCCCAACACCGGCTAATGCCGTGCCCTCAAAGCCGGGCTCTAAAACTGGTTAAGCAATTGATTTGACAATATTTTTGAACTTTATTTGTTACAAAATTAACATTTTATTTATAAGTTTTTGCCTTTTGTTTTATAAATTATATTTTTATTATTCATTTCGTATGAATTCTATATTTTGTAAAATCTTAGTTTTAGTTTTAAATATACATTAATATTAATTCATTATTATAATTATTAATTATTACAAAATTATTATTATTAAAAACTTTAGATTTAATAATTTATTTGTAATTTTTTCAAATATATGAAGTTTTAGTTTTATTAAATTGCTTATAATTGATCCATGATAAAACTGTCCATAAATTGAATGTAAGTAACAATAAGTGTTGAAATAATAACGAGAGTTGACTGTATTGTTATAAAACGGCAAAAGTTTGACCAAAACTTATTACTCCACAACAAATGCATACAAACTGTACTCATATTCCATATCTATTCATACAATTTGTTTGCATTTTTTGTAGACATTATTTCAAACAGAAGTGAAGTCTGTATTCGAGTTAAAAGTGATTTAAAAATTGATTGATTTTTGTTTCGCATTTCAATCAAACCATTCATACAATCACTTCATTTGATCCCAAGATATGGCACGATGTATGAAACACAAGAAGACATCACTCGTCACCACAGATGACGGCAAAGGCGAAGACATTCAACAGGTTTTTGACTAACATTTGACCGTTTATTGAGTTTTATTTATTTTAATCTCATTTTAGCCGCAAATCTATGCGAAAGACTCTTTGGATCGATTCGGTGATGACTTGTTTGGTATTGTGTTGTCGTATCTCTCACTCGAAGATCGGTTTCGATGCGAATGTGTGTCCAAACAGTTCCAGAGAACAGTCTTCGAGAGTGTTGTGGACATCAATCTTAGCGATGGATTTGTTTCTAAAGTACTTAAAGAGAAGAGATGTGACACTCAATTGTTGGCCACAATTGCCATAAAGTGTGCAAACATTCAAACCATTGACTGCCGAGAAGTAACCTATAGATATGCGAAACACATTCCCGAAGTGTTGAACACATTGCGAGACAATTGCCCGCATTTAAGGGATATTTACTGCAATTTATATCTTATCGGTAGACGAGCGCAAAGAATGTGTTCATTGGCACCACTGGTCACCCGAATCGACTACATTACTGACAGACAAGCGCTCACTCATTGCCACCGATTGTCTGAACTACGGATCGACACATTTATGGAAATCTTTGGTAACGATGGCATGCATTCATTTGTGGCACACAATCAGTGCCTCAAGAGTTTTATGGTCAGCTGTCCGATCAACCCTCAAGTGTTGGTCCAACTGTGCGGACAATTGTCACGATTACCGCAATTACGGGAACTGACACTCAATTTAAGACTAACCGTTGGCCACAACCCATTGAACGACTCTTTGCGCACAATTGGCGTGAATTGCAAACAATTGAAACGCTTGTCACTCAATGGGTACTCAAATCCTACGCAGACATTGGATTCGTTGGTATTATACACGCAATTAAAACGATTTCACTTAAGACTCGCCGGTATCGTCGCTAATGGTTTGTTGGATCCGTTGAAACACTGCAAGAGATTAACGCATTTAGAGCTGGAATTGCCGCGAATTGACATCAATTTGTTTAAAAATATGGATAAAAATTACTTAAGACTTCATTATCTGTGGATCAGAACCAATGTTATTACTCGCGAGTGTTTGCCACACGTCTCAAGATTTGCGGCGCTGCAAAAGCTTGTCATTCACTTCAATGAAAGCGATGGTTTGTCGGGCAATGATTTCAGTGATCTGTTGACCACATGTCCTAAACTCAAGACAATTGAACCCCATTTCCACGATATGTCGAACTTTTGGCGCGATATTCTCGAATGCGTTAAATGATAATTAAATGCCATTTCTTTTTGTTAATTATAAATTATTTTTTGTTTATTTATTTTTCATAATTTCTTTATTTGTAGTAAGATTTTTGGTAAAAATTTTAATTTAATTTTGATTCTTAATTATAAATTGATGTAATATTTTGTGTCTTAATATGATTTGAATCCGAGTTGATTAATAAAATACATTTATTAAATATGCTGTTTATTATTTAGAAAAACTAAATAAAATGAGTAAATAAACTAGGATAGAGCCCATGATACCTATAAGTGCTGTAGTGTGTATAGTGTTGGTCAGAGTCCTGTCAATACAATGGATTTAAGTTGTTTTTACTTCAAATATATCAGACTTTTAGACATCAGAGCTCTTAAGCCTTCATTAACTTATAAATTTCATCACTTGTCTAATAAATCCTATATATTAAGTTAAACAATTTAAATCCATTGTATTAACAAAACTCTGACCAACACTATATACACTACGGCAGTTGACTATTTCATACAATTTAATTAAATACTCATCGTGTATTTGAATATTTTTTTGGAGTCCCACCTCACACCCGCGCAGACACACGTCTGGCACTCCAGATATGAAATTTATTATTTTGTGTTTATATGTTGAAAATTACAGATAATTATAAATTTGCAAGAACTGTTTTAAATACAACATTTTTGGTTTTATTAATCTCGTTGTAAGTTTTATTGTTAAAAATTTTAATATTTTTAAATGATGACACTCTGGACAGAGCGACATATAGTTGTCCGTGTGAAAACACATCTTCTGGCAGATATATGGCAACATTTTTCAGTGTCTGTCCTTGACTTTTATTTATAGTCATTGCATATGAGACACGAACTGGAAATTGTTTTCGTCTAATAGTAAATGGCATTTCAGTATCAGATGGTTGTAATGTCATTTTAGGGATAAAAACTGTTTCACCCTGTTTTGGTCCAGTAAGAATTTCTGCAATTATTACATGTGAACGGAATTCTTTGCAAATAAGTTGCGTTCCGTTGCAGAGACCATTCGTTGGATTTAGGTTTCTCAGAAGCATTATTGGAATGTCTTTCTGTAGTCTCAATTTGTGTGGTGGTAAACCACTGAATGTGATGTTACTGATTTGATCAATTTGTATTGTGTTTGCGTGTTCTGAGTTAACAAATGCATCTGAACTCAAATATTCATGAACATTGTCTGGATTTCGATTGATTATTTTATCATTAATTTCGTCAACATATATATTCTTAGTTGTTAAAATTGTCCAATCATTTAAATTATCGTGAATTTCATCTATGAATTCATCACACGTTTTTGCGTTAGAACATAGCTCTTTTGGTAATTCAATTGTCTCATTTTTGTAAAGACCTTTTGCTTCTCCAATATCAAGCAAAAAATCAGAGAAATTTTGAGTTTCTGAATTATCCGATTCAGTGAGTAGTGCCCTCTGATTAATAGTAAGTTTACATACTTTGATTGACTCCCAAAGATATGATCTATTTATTGTCATATCGCATATATCGCTTGGAGAGCCTTGTTTTACAACTGGGAGTATTTGCCGAAAATCTCCTCCTAAAACCACAATTTTGCCTCCAAATGGCAAGCCATCAGCTGATGGCAAAATGGCTTTCATAATGTCTCGAAATGTTCTGTCGACTGCTTCAAATATAAGCTTACTGGCCATAGGGGCCTCATCCCATATAATAAGTGTTGTTTTTTGAATAAGTTTTGCCAAATCTGATTGAACAGGAATTTTGCACATCGAGTTCTCGTTTAAATCAAATGGAATTTTAAATCTGGAATGCGCAGTTCTTCCGTTGGGAAGCAGCGTTGCTGCGATTCCTGACGAACCAACAGGGAGTACAATTTTCCCCTCTGATTGCACTTTCTTAATGAGTGCATTATAAAGGAATGTTTTTCCAGTACCTCCTGGCCCGTCAATGAAAAATATATTGGGTTCGTTGGGATTGTTTCTTTCAATAGTGTTCAATATTTTATCATATATTAACTTTTGATCTTCATTGAATTTAACCGCTGCTATATCGGCTTCATTTTCCAATTCAATCAGATTTGTTGGGAGCTCTTCAATCAGTAAATCTGATGTCGTATCATCCATTGTTTCATCATATGTTAGCATTGGCGGGAAATCTTTTAATGATGTGTTTTGCACAATTAATTGTCGTTCGATTTCGCCTAAAGCTCTGTTCACAAAGCGATCTTTTGCTATTTGTGGTATGTCACGTACCCCACGAAACTCAACGTGTTCGTAGACATAGTCTTCTATCATATATGATTCAAATTTATCCCACAATACTCTGGGATGTATTATTTCGTGGAACAACAATAAAGTGGCAAACAGATTCCGTAATTGTTTTGGCCATTGCTTTAAAGCTGCCTCACTTAGACACAATTCAGTTTCGTTGTCATTCGCAAGCAGTCCTAATTCTTGAGCTGCTTCTTTATACGTAAAATATTCTACTCCATTTACAGTTCTTAACTCTGCGAAAGATTTTGCTCCGGCAATATGTGTGAGCATTAAATTCAAATAATATCTCTCTCCTTCTCGAGGATTTATAAAATACTTTCGTCCAATTGTCGGATATTTTTGAGTATTAACTCGTTTAGTCCATTTCTTATCTGCCCACGTGTAATGTGTGGGAAATTGATGATATAATAATGTTCTCGGATCTGGAATATCATTTCCTTTATATTTTCTATTGAATTTCATCCATTTAGTTAATGTGGTTTTACCAAAGTTTTCATTAATGTTTGTGTTGTTTGGATTAAAAACAACATTTTGGTAACCTTCTAAATGCACATCTAAATGTTGCACAGAATGAGACATCTTTTGAACGGAATGACCAAGAATTCTCCACATTGCTTCTGGTGGTGATACAAACCTACAATTTACGTACAACTCAATTTCATTAGTTGTTTCTTTCCGTAGATTTTGTTCCAATTCAACATTTGTAATAACAATATCTGCTTTGTCAGATCCTTTGTATATATACTTAAATAAGTATTTAATTGCTGTTATCGACGAACAGATTTCAACATTTATGTGAGCGTCAAACATTGATGAGAGATACGGATTGTAAGGCACAACGTATTGATTGGTAATTTCTTTACCATTAACAGTTACACCGCCGTTTCGTCGTCGATATTTTGGGTAACCGTTGTTGTCGTCGTGTGTTCTTTCGACGATCGGTTTTGGAAAACCTTTGGAACATTTGCCATTTTTAAGGCAACGCTCTATTGTGCACTTGTGAATCATGTTTGTGGTTACTGTATTAAACAGATTCATAGCCAATTGATTTTGTTCAATTCTTTCAGGTATTTCTGCACAAACAATTTTGTCGTAATCATCGGAATTTCTGGGCCGATCGGTTTCGCTCAGCCAATACAGTGTGTGCGAATGGAGATTTCCTCTTTTCTGACTTTCAATGACAGTCACGTATGCGATAACTTTTCCGAAAATATGCTTCTCAGTTATTAATTTTCGCAACTTTTCATTGTGTTGTCTGAATACTCTCACAACTACGTCGGCTCGATTATTGGGTGTTTGTTGTGACAATTCGTTTAAAGCATTTATAATGTCGGGATGTTTTGTTTCTCAGTTATTAATTTTCGCAACTTTTCATTGTGTTGTCTGAATACTCTCACAACTACGTCGGCTCGATTATTGGGTGTTTGTTGTGACAATTCGTTTAAAGCATTTATAATGTCGGGATGTTTTGGATTACATGTAAAAGTGAGAAAAATATGAGGTTTTCCATATTTTTGGACCATTGCCATTGCGTCCTGAAATTGTTTCATTTGCCAACGGGGAGAATTGATGTGACCGCTCGGAAGAATTACTCTTGTCCCAACATTTTGCAAATCATTGCCGTCATTCATCGAATCATGGAATCCTTTGTATGATTCCGCTCTCATGTCTTTTTGATTGTTTTTTATATATCGAAGTCGATTTGACTCGATTTTAACCCATGCATCAACAATGTATTGTTGATACAGTCGTCCAAATAAAAATAGATTTTTACATTCCTCTCTGTAATGCAATCTATGGGCATAGAAATCCATTAGGGTCATATTTTTCCCATCAGTTTTCTTTAATGTTAAATCCCATCCAAATTCGCCGGTCGGAAACATTAAGGGATAACTAAGTGAATCGCAATGTCTGTTAGTTTCGTTTATACTAACAAATCGGTTTCGACCATCTCGAAATGGGATTATAATGTCTCTGAAATAATCCTCATTTCCATTCGGATATATTGCAGCGATGTCATCGCTTGTCGGTGCACAATACGTTTTATCACGTATTCTTGAAGTGTCGCCCCTGATTTTTATTGTCAAATTCTCCGGAGGGTTACCATCGTGTGCTTCAAATGCTGTTTGAATGTTTTTAATAAATGGATTAATTCTCTTAAGCATATTTAAAAGCTTTTGTAATATATCAGATTTCAAGCCATCAGTTACACTCAATCTGTTTGCAATTTCACTTTGCGTGTCATAGAAATACAATTGAGCGATTTAATAAATGGATTAATTCTCTTAAGCATATTTAAAAGCTTTTGTAATATATCAGATTTCAAGCCATCAGTTACACTCAATCTGTTTGCAATTTCACTTTGCGTGTCATAGAAATACAATTGAGCGAATTTGGGCCTTTGCCCATCAATTGGCAATAACGATCCAATCTTGTGATTCATTGCTCCTTGAATTTTGTAAGTGAAAGGACCCCGACCTTTGTCGGCCAACACTTTGTCGTTAAGGGCTCCAACAGACACCATTGCTAAATTTGAGTTATAGCCTCTTATGAACTGATTGAAATGAGTTTTGGTTTCAGTATTTTGAAATAAATCCAACAATTCTTTCGGGAGTGGAAGAAGTGCTTCGAGTTTCACTTTTCCGTTATTACAACATTTACTGTAGAGTGGTTTTGCTTTAGTTCCCGATGTTTTCTCACACATCCAGAACTTTGCGAAACAATGTGGGCACTTTTGGTC